TCCACTTGCGTGAGATATTCAGAGTATTCAAAAATCATAGAGTCAGAAAGTGTAACAATGGTGGCCAGGGGATGGGGAGAAGGGATGAGGGAGTTATTTATTAATGGGCGCAGAGTTTCTGTTTGTAAAATAAAAAGAGCTCTGAGGCTGAGACAGGAAGATCACTGCAAGCTTTAGGCCAGCTGAGGCTACATAGTGAGTTTAAGGCCAGCCTGAACTGTATAAAAAGACCCTGTCTCAAAATAAAAGAAAAGAAAAGGAAAGAGAAGAGATCTTGGGAGATGGATGGGTGGCTACACCTGTACAACATCTAAATGTACCACAGATCTATAGACTTAAAAATGGTTACGATGATAAAGTTTATGATACATGTACTTTGCCACAATAAAAAAGGTTAAAAAAGTGCACACAAAAATTTGTGCATTAATGTTCATAGAAAAATTACTTAGTAATAATAAAAAATGAAAATAACCCGTGTCTATCTATAGATATATAAAAATGTGTTATATACATATAATGGAATATCTATGATTCAACAGCAGAAAAGAATAAAGTACCAAAACATGCTATGATCTGGATGAACCTTAAACACATTTTAAGAAGTGAAAGAAGCCAGTGCAAAAGGTGAAATGTGGAGACCAGAGGAGAAATGCAGCCTAACTGGCCTCCTTGGCGACTCGGAGGATGCAAACGAGAAAGGCTGCACTCGGCGATTCCATGTTGCAGGTTCTAGGGAAAAGTTGTGACAGCTGAGGCTAAGCTTTTCACCAGAGAATGTACTGATGGACACTGGGAAGCAGATGAGTCTTGCGTTACTTTAATTGCTTGTGCCCATGTTTGGGTGAATAAAGGCAAGATGAGCCAGATGCCAGACGCTCCTCTGCCAACTATGAGGCAGGAGCCCCTGGCTGCTCACGTGTTAAACTGACTCTGCTTTTCTGTTGTTCATCCTCGATTGCCCCATCAGGGAGAACAAAGTGGTGCCTGGGGCAGGAGGGATCTGAGACCTACAGTGAAGATTGGCCACGGGTGGGTCAGGTACCACCATATACTGTACAATTCCATTTATATCAAATGCCCAGGTAGGCAAACCCACGAAGACAGATCACAGCTTAAGAGCTGCCTATAGATGGGGAGTGTGGGGCCGGGGGGAAGAAAGGGAAATGGGGGGGTGACTTCGAACAGGCCCTAGGTTTCTTTCTGAGGAGATAAAAATGTTCTAAAATTGCTTGAGTTCATAGGTACACAAGCCTTAAAACCCATTAATTGACAGTAACTTCAAACAGGTAAACTTTATGAACATTACATGTCAACAAACTTGTTGGGGGGGAAAGTTACCAGAAAAAAAAAAAAGGATAAAGGGAAGATATTTTTTAAAAAAAGACAATAAAATTTGCTTCCAGAAAACTCCCACTAAAACAAGAATTAGAGGAAGCAGGTGAGGATATAGGGCAGAAGCTTGGAGATACAGACAGGAGTGGGAGTGGTGTAAATCCAGGTGGATTAAAAATCCACCCAAAGAGGAGGCGGACTGGGTCCCAGCCAGAGGCTGTGGCCCAAGGGCAGAAATATAGGCCTTCACCCCCCCCACACTCCCCACAGCACCACATTCTCTCCTTCCAGCCCCAGGCCTTTGCACACCCTCTTCCCTCTGCCCGTACAGGATATTTCCTGCTTTCAGGTTCCACTGTGGTTTTACTCCTGCTCATCATTCCCATTTCAGCTTCAATTCCCCTTCCCCAGGAAAGCCAACTGCTCCTTCAGGATGAGCTAATCTCCTTCCCACTAGAGACTGCAAGATCCCTGCACCTTTCATTAACAAAAGGCACCAGCTAATTGCACGTGTGTCGCGTGGTCTTTGATCTCGGTCCCCTTTAAAATGTACCTTCTTACATTCCTATATATTCCATCATTTTTCCATTTTCTTGGGAAAGAGACGAAAATAAATTATGACTTAACTATTGTTCTCCAGTGAGTCACACCAGGATCTGCCTCTTCCTTTTTTTAGCAAAATAAGTTTCACATTATTGAGGCAAATGGAATGTGTAATGCTCACAAAGTTCCTGTGAGAAATTGCTGTTCAAAAACGGAGCCAGCTTGCTGCTTAATGATATTATTATACTAAAGAGCAGAGGGGCCTGATGGCTGTAACCACCCCACAGAGGCGGGGCATTGAGATCAGATGGTACCATAATTGATCATCTTTCCCTGAAGGTGCCAGATAACCACCTGCTCCTTGAAGCAGATGCCAGGAAGGACACAGGGATAGATCTATTCTGCATACTGGAGAAAGAAAACAGAAATCTCCTAAGCAAGGGGAGGAATGCAGAGAATACACAAATGCTAAGCGAAAGAGCTTTAAGCTGAGCCAGGAGAGCGAAAGAACTTACTGGCTGGACAATGTTGAAGTTTGCTAGTATCCTGTAACTAGGGTTTATCTTTAAAAACAAAAATAAGACTTGGCTGAGAGAACTGTGCTGTGCCCTTTCTTGCCAAGTATGTGAAACAGAAAACTAATTTTTTGAGGATAGGGAAGAGATACCAGAATGGATTGCCACTGGGCAGCTGCTCAGATAATGTGAAATGAATGAATGAATGAATTGCAGTAACAGCCTCTAAATAAAGGAACACTTCCTGTTAAAAGTGAGATGGCACTAAGTACCCATGCACAATTTCCAAGGCTGCCTAACACTCCGAAGTTTCAAGGATGGACTGCTTCAAGATCTGACTTTGCTAGACTGTCACATTTCTTTTGCCTGAATTCTTCTTGCTATGTCAGCTACTCTACAGCCACACAGAGGTGATGTTCATGGGCTTTTGTGGATTCCTTGGTTGGGAGTAAAGGAGGATGGGTGCATTCAGGAGGTCCCTGCTTGGGGGCCTGTTCCCTACTTCTGACTCACCACTGGCCACAGGCAGGACAGGGACACACATCTAGAGAGGACAAGATGGCAGGAGACAGCTTGCTCCACCGTTTCTTTTCAAAGAAACACCACAGCTTCACCACAGCTTCATCCCAAGGAGCTCCGCCATCCACAAGATAAACACCATAATGTACAAGCATATAATTAGGATCTTATATAAGATAAACTACTATTTTCTGAAAATCACTTACATAAGTTGATTTAGTGGTATTCGGAGTCCTTATAAATGGGCAAATTAAGCTACTTAGTAGAGGAATGCACATGGCACTCCAAACACAGCAGATAGCCACATACATACACACACGAATCTGTGTTCACTTAGGCAGCCTGTTCTCACACAATCCCACCTGCATGGACTTCATGCCTCAGACAGCAATGCATGGCAGCCTTCACAAGAGCACTTGTCATCACTCATCAAGAGGGGAGTGTTTTTATATGAGATCTGACAAACATCAGTTTATAAATTTTCAGATAGAGTAAAAAAAATCTATTAGAGACTTTAACAAAACCATTATTTCAAAAATAGCTAAGTGTCGGAGCTTCAAACTTCACAACCTTATTTTAGAAATTCTATTTGCATAATTCCAGGGGAAATATAATATAAATTCATTTTAATGCTGGGGAGGCTCTTATAAAGATACCATTTAACTTTGAAACTTTCAAGCTCACAGAGCAACCTGTGTGCTTGGTGCAGACTGCTCAACACACAAGCAACGGAGGGGACCCTGGAGTCCAGGGCACAAAGGACAGTTTTACAAGAGCTGGGTTACTTTTAACTGGGTGAGTTTACTGAGGAGATACACACCCTTGTTTCTATGCATATCGACCACAAATCATTTATCTAGAATGTTATGTATGTGACTGGTATTTCTGCAGTGTGGCAGGTGCAGAGCTGAAGTTTGTTTTTATTTTTAATAGGAAGACATGCTCCAAAGCCTAGTAACAGAAGACATATCACTACCAGTCTCTCCTGGCCCATGCAACACCACAGACAGAAGCAGACAATGAATTTGAATAATTATCAGTCCAAAAAAAAATTTATGAAGCCACATTCAGTGGTGCATGCCTGTAACCTTAGCACTTGGGGAGACTGAGAAGTCCCTTCTGGGCAACTCAGTGAGATCCTGTTTCAAAACAAAAAAATGTTCAAAAGGGTTTGGGAGTGCAGGTCAGCGGTAGTGAGTCCCTGGGTTAAGTACCCATTGCTACAAAAAAAAAAGTAGTGACGATAATAATGACTTACAGGCACAGGGTTTTACCAATACAAGGCCTTGTGTTCACAATGAATTCATGAGATGCTGTGTCATTACCCATGCAACTGAAGAAGAAAGTGAGGCTTGTGGGGGGACCACCTGCCCCAAGTCCTCCAGCCTCCCTTCCCACCAACCGTTAGGTATGTCCTTCCAGAGATGCACTATCAATTCACTAAGACCATGGAAGGAGGCTGCCACACTAGGAATTTTCCACTTGAGACACAAGACTGACGACGACATGTTTATTTATGCTGAGCAAATGAATTTAAACCAAGCGACAGCGCCACAGTGCACAGAATTAAATGCACTGAGAGCCAACCGCTTCCAGGGAAAAGGTCACCAACGGCAGGGTGAAGTGGCTGTGTGCGGGAGTGCTGGCCTTTGCTGGGCAGGAGCTCAAGCGGGTTGTGGGTTGTCTCCTGGGCTGTGTCTGTCGGCTGGGAGCAAGCCTTTGGTCCTGGACCTTAGGTAATAATGCTGGTGTCCTTTTACCCCGACCTCCCTCCACTCCAAGTGTATCAACTCTGCCATGCAGATCCCAGATACACATGGGATAGTAAGAGTAAAAATGCTGTTTACCAAGTCCTCTTTTCCTCTCCCTCACCATGTAAATGTCTTAAAGAAAACAAAGAGAATCATTAGTTTGTTCCAGAATTCACATAATTCAAGGAGAAAGAATAAAGTATATAAAGAAGGAGATCCTAAACCCTCTAGAACATCAGCCCCAGCCCAAGGGCGGTTGGCAACGCATATCCTAGCAGAGACAATAGGGTCTCCCCTCCCCTGCATCTCCCCTCCACCACCTCCTTGCTCTCCGGCCCACCTGGGGTCAGGCCTGATGCACTGGGAGAAGGCAGCCATCCTCCTGAAAGCGGTGTGGGCCTCTGGCTCTCTCATCGTCCTGGAAGCTAGCAGCAGGGAGAGGCGTAGCCTAAGGCTCTCGGGACACCACTGGGTGCTGGGCACAAGCCCGGGTCCTGGTCTCCCCCAGCAGCTCCAGTGGGTTTGGCAGGACCCATGAGCCACAAGGAAGTGGGGCTTCTGCCAACCCCAGGCACCCGGAGCCCTGCAAGCTCCCTGGGAGGGTGTGCAGGCTGAGGGCTGTCTGAAGAACACACACTTCCTTCTTCCACTCCAAGCCCCAAGGGCCAGGGCGGGAGTGGCCTGACTCCTCGGGGAGTTGGTCTGCAGTCCTCGTCACCTGCCTCCCTGTGACTGGAGTCGCCCGCTGAATGGCTGAGGCAAAAAACAAACTTGCACTATGTTTTCTCATGCTCACCATGGAGGCAGGCAAAGGGCGAGTCAGGTTGAGGCTGCATTCCCCATGCGAGCAAGGGCAGATCCGGGAAGGACAGACTGGGCCCTGAAATGGGTTTGAAACTAAATGCACCCAAGCCCAGGGCTACCCTCTCTCATCCCTACTGCACCCTTGATGCCCACTTTTTTCTGCAGAGGGAGGGGCCCCGGTGTAGGAGTGGGGAGCTGCCAGTCTCCGCCCTGCACACCTGCTTTCTAGCTTTCACTTTCTTTTTATTTTCTCTATCATGGCATCTTGGGCTCTAGATATGTCTTCTGAGATGCTTTCCTGGGGCCATCCAAATGCTGCTCTTAGCCAGGCACCTGCTTACCCCACTCCCTGTGTCCCTGCTAGGGTTTCCAGCCCTCCTGGCTGGAGACTGCACCTGGCAGGTGCGCAGGCCACGCCTACCCAAGAGAAATCACCAACTGAGCCTGCCTGGCTGGGTTCCCCAGCCTGTCCACAAAGCCAGGAGCCTGGTGACCTCCTCTCTGATTACCCACAGCTGCCACTTCAAAATAATAGACTCCTGCAACCAGCAGCTCCACCTGAGTCAAGTTCATCCCAAGGCTGACAGCTCTACTGTCAGCGGTTTCCAGGCAACGTCTGGAATGTTGACAGAGACTCCTGGCAACCAGTGGGTGTGACTATGTTATTAAAGCCTAGGAGCAAGCAGGCAGGCAAGCAGCACAGTGATTTCTGAAAATGGTTCTAAAAAAGTCCTAGCTAGCTTGTGTTTCCAAAATGCAATTGTATATGGAGTTCTAGTCAAATGGTTTAAAATTTAAGGACAAAAGCATAACAAATATATTAATGGCCATAAAAGTAAGCACTGAGTTCAGAGAGTGGCAATCACTTAGACCTCTGAGGCAGCCCATACACATTTGCCTTCAGAAGCTGCAGGTCCACTGCGCTAACAGGAAGTCCCCTTTCTCTTAGGAGGTGTTTCAGGGGCCTACAGGACAACACAGCAGAGTGGACTATTGAAGGGCCATGAGCAAACAAAACTCTACAGATCCACAAGGCAATTTCATCCTGCTCAGAGCAGTCAGGCTGAGCTTGGAGGTCACTTCTGCCACATGCCATGGCCCTATCTGGGATGTCACTTCCATCACGGAGCAGCTCAATGCCCCAACAAGACACCACTCCAGAGGGTCACAAACACTGCAGGGGACACAGTGTCACATCTGTGCTTCCACTGCTGAATGCCCAGAGACTGAGGCCACTTCCACTACCTCTTAGCACATTCTCCACGGCACAGTTTGCACCCTCTCAGTTCTACCAAGTACTCAGAATTTCCTTTCTTTGTCCTTCTTTAAAGGGCCCATCCTGTATATACCCCAGAAAATCAGAAAGCCAGATGAAAAAAGGCCAGTAACACCCACGTGCATATATTAAAGAGCAGCTTGTAAAGCGCAACAGAAAATCTTTTATGCAAAATGGGCTTTATGATAGGACCTCTGTCCCAGTCCATTTTCTGTTGCTATAACTGAATGTGCAAAATGGGTAACTTATAAAAAAAAATAAAGGTTTGCTCAGCTCATGATTTTGCTGGGAAGTCCACATATGGTGGGGGCTTCTTGTTGAAGGCACTCACTGCAGAGTCCTGAGGCAGTGTAAGATACCAAATGGCAAAAAAGAAACAAGATACAGAATGAAACTGGCTTTTATAGCATATCTACTCAAGATAATCCATTAAGCCATGAATCCATCATAGATGAATCCATTGATGACAGCAGAATCCTCATGACTCCATCACCTCTGAACAGCCTCACCTGGTTCCACTTCTTATACCTAAAAATGGGGGCTAAATTGCAACAAGAGTTTTGGTGGGACCATTCAAACTCTACTGTCATTGTTAACTGTGATACATCAACTTGACTTGAGTGCAAACTGCCTGGCAGATTAGCTGTCTGTAGATGATGGACATGGAAGCTGCCAACTGAGGAGGGAAGACTCATTCTGGATGTGGGTGGTACCATCCAGCAGGCTGGCAGCCTGGAAGAAATAAAATGGCAAAGAAGATGGAACGATGCCTATTTTGCAAAGCTCTGGTCTTCGCCATCACCTTTGGACCTTGGTCTCCAGTTCCTTCAGCCTTCCAATGCAGACTCGAGTTGTTGACTCTCTGGGGACCTTCCAGGACTTTGACCTTGGAATGGGACTGTGTCCCTGGCTTTTCTTGTTCTGTGGTGTCTGTCTTCTTGAACTGAGCCATTCCTGAATCCTCTGGCTCTGAAGTGCCCAGATGGCCACTAGGGACTCTCCTACCTCCAATTCTGTAAGCTACCTACTAAATCCCCCTGCGTAACTATACATATGTTTTCTATTGATTCCATTCCTCTAAAGTACCCTAACTAATAACTTAGTAATGTCCTTAGCCCTCTAAGTTCATTTTATCCAGAGGGATTGGAACGAATGGGCCAGGTCTTGGTAGTTTCTATTCATGCTCATCTAACACTTACAACCACCATAGGTCAAACAGTGCACCTGTTTTGCATGTGAGGAAACAGATGATCTGTGAGGGTAAGCAACTTGCCCAAGATCACCAAAACAGTAAGTGAAAATCTAATCCTCAAATCAAGACCTGTATCTCACCCAAGTGTGAACCCTTCCCCGATGGCAGCTGACTCCTAAGAGACCCAGGCCAACGGTTTAAGGGACAGGTCAAGTTCCATCTTCTCTGGGCTGGCAGCCTGGCAGCCTGTATTGAAAGCCTTCAAAATCCTTATCCTGCTGCTCTAGCTGTTACCCTTCCCAGAAATCTGGCCTAAATCCAGTCCTGCCTTGTAACTGCATCCTGGAAACATTCTAAAGGACACTGACAGGAGACTGGTTATGGCACTGTGACCCAGAAGGGGATGCTAAGCAGGCCTAAAAATCACATCACTGGAAAATATTTACCAACACGAGAGAATGCATTGCAAAGGGGAAGGAGGCCTCAGCAGTGCTTCTAAAGCATCATGCATCCCGTTACCCAAAGCTTGCTCAACATCCATGCTACTTTGGCAAGTCTGGCCAGGGCCTAAGATCCTTCATCCTAACACACTCCCAGGGGATGCCAACCTGCTGCTCTTGACCTCCTTTTGAAGAGCATCACCTTACAAAATGATGGGTGCAGGAAGAGCCCACTCTTTTTGAAGACCTCTTAGTGCATAGAAGGGACAATGGCCCAGAAAAGTTGAGAACTTAGTTATTTCTGGGTTGTGGAATTACATAGATATTAAACTTTCTGGTTGTGCTTGTACTTTTCTATGCTGTGTGATCTTTTGGATTGAATGCATATGTTGTTCATAATTAGAAGCAGTTCAATAGTTTCTCCTAAAGATCAGGCAGTATGATATGAACAGACTGGGATTTTTGGGCCAGGATTTGGAGTCGAGTTACTTTCCTTCTCTGAGTTCAGCTTCATAACTAGGAAACCCAGAAGGAGGTTGAGAGGCTCCCAGTAGACCCCATGTGTGAACTTCTCCCCTGGGCTCTCAGTGTCAGTCCCTGCCCCTCCTCAGCTGGAAACAGGAGATTATGCCCATGAGTGCTTTTGCAGTGGCTTCTTCGTTTGGCTCCATCTCCTCTCGAAGATAAGAGCTGGAGGAGATTTAGAGCATTAATCTGTGGGAGAGTAGCCAGCTTGGCCAACCGTGAGGCATGTGCGTGGGTTTGGGCCCACCTAGAACCTTTCTTCCTGGAAGACAGCTTCCCCTTTGGGCCTCACTATCTAGAAGGCCCGTCTCACCCTACACACAGGAACCACCAAGGCTGTGCTCTGACCATGGGCCAGAACACGTCCCCACGTTGAACCATGCTTCACCTGCCCACCTGTGCTTCGAAGGGTGTGCTATCACATGCAAAATTTTTGAACATGCAGGCATTTACCTCTAGGAGAAGACACTGTTCTTAAGTTCTTCTCAGCTACACATCAGTGAAGCCCAACAATTATGGCCCTAAAGTCCAAACAAGAACTGATATCACTTTGACTGCTTACAATGCTCAGTTAGTGGGCTTCAAACCCAGCCCCCAACTGAGTGCTCCAAGGTTAGGTTTTACAAGTGGTCCTGCCACATTTCACTCTTTTCTTGCTTCATATCCCAAAGTAATGTTATAAAGAACCCAAGGGCCATTGCAAATTACACTGCTATCTAATCAAACTCTAAAACCAGAAGTAAAAGCCACAGGACATGCTGCTTCATCAGCCTGGCATCAAGTGGACATCAGACTGAAAACCTCATCATCTAGGCTTATGAAACCCAAGCAGAGCATCCATCAGATAAAAAACTTTCACTCATTTCTAATAAAGTTTTTTTCTGGGTGAACTTTCTTCTGTATGGCTAAAGAAAAAAAAATCTTCTCAAATAGTTGATTTCATTTGAACCATGTGGTAAGATACTCTGACAAAGTGTCCTGTGTGATTCAGATGCGGGGGCTGCTTGGATTTGACATAAATATCCTCCTCTTTTGTAATTCCCAGACATCACATCTAGAGCCTGAGGCCACGGAGCAATATGGAAACACATCTGGCTTCTTATGTGGAGGCGCTTAATATTCCAACTCATCCCAGAAAGATCTTTAAAAAGGAGCAAATCCCTCATTTTATTAAATATTTCCATGGGGGTGGGCATGGAATTTAGAGGTTCCACACCATTCATCACAAAACGACTGCTGCACCATCTCCTGGTTATAGTAGTAATGCCTCAGTTGGGCCATAAAGTCCCTGATGGTACCAATAAACTCCAGAACGCAATGATTTCTGTATATCTCGTGACATGGTGTACACAATGGGTGACAAATAAATGCACACTCATTGAAATAGTGCAACATGGAGACTGTGTACTCCTCTCATTGGCAAGGGTCGTACAGGGCCAGTAGGCACGGTGCATAGTCCTCACAGGAGCACAGCACTGGTCCCTTTGTTGACGGACACACAGGAAAGGGACCAAGGAGGGAGGCCTTCTAGAGCATTCTACTGCCAGAAAGCAAAAGCACAGTGACAATGCCAGAAACAGTTCTCAGTGAAACATGTTTCGCATTCAGTGGAGCCTGGATCATGAGCATTTCACCCAAGCC